TTTCATAGTAGTTAACTGCAAATAAGAAAATTTGTTTTAGATGATGGCAGGTTTTTACGCATTTTCATGATGTGCTTATTGGAAACCATGCAAATTATATACCAGCACGCATCTAGATCATAACGCAAATAAGAACGTGGAAAGCCTCAGCACATCTTTTTTAGACTGCAAACCAGATGATTCGAGGAAAAGGAGTGCGGCATGAGTTATGGTACTCTAAATGCTGTTGTTGTTGTAACAGCATACATATTATCCAAAAAAAATTCGGGGAGTGTTGCTGGAGCGGCAGTCCTTGTCCAGATATAAATCTGGATCATTTATGTTGAATAGGGCCCCTTCACTTAAATCCATATCACAAATTTTTCATATCACCCTAAAGGGATTGCTGTCCTTTGTCTATTTCAAAGTTTTTTTGGGCCTGTTGATTTTGATATTAGTGTTTTATTAAAAAATAAGCAAAACTACGATTATAACAAGATGATTTTCTGTTCCATGCTTAGCCCTTATTACTTTTAGGCCGATTTCTAGTATTCATTTCGTGTGTTTTATTTATTTATTTATTTTTTTTTTGCATTGTTTTATTCTTATTTATTTCAAACGCCTGAAAATCATTGTAATCGGCTAGCATTTCATTGTATTCATGATTTATCTTTATTATTAATGATTTAATTTCTTGTTTTATATATTTTGGTTGCAGTGTTTTTTTCGTTCATTATTTTTTACTATTTATTTTCTTGTAATTGTTTCAAATTACATTTGTTCTTCTAATATCAAATATTATAACTATCGGCTGCAGGATAATTTCCAAAAAAAAAAATATATATATTATATGTTTTGCTGATTTTTGGATGTACACATTTATTAATGATTTTACAGTTTAATTATTATTTTTTTTAAACGTTTGCCTAGTTACTGCAAATGACTTTTTTAATGATTTCGCGAATTTATGCAAACTTTTTGTGCCTAATGTTTTGGGTTTCTTTTTTGTTTTTTTGAAATAGTTCTTTCTTATATTGCAACTACATATTCCCCAACCCCAGCTCCGACATGCTTACATTTTGGTTGTAGTTCCTTCCTAAACATGTATTTACCTACGTTGCTGTTGAGGGTTTTGTTTAATGGCTTTGTAATTTTACTTTCCTTTTTTTGGAAATATTAAAATGCTTGAAATTGAATACATAATTTACACTGTGCGAAACGATTATGGGGTAAAACTTGGAAAAAAAATTTAGCGGTTATACATAGTTTCAAGGTGTTTTTTCTAGTTAGAAATAATACAAAAAGTTGTGCTTAATTTTTTTTTTTAATTTCGTTTTAAATTCTCGATTTAAAATTACGGTTATAAATATTCGATAATTTATGAAAAGCAAACTTTCAAATATTAAATAAATCGGGTTGCCAAAATTTTTAAAATAAAAGGCTGATTATTTCTGAAAATTTAAAAGATCTATATATCTAGATTTAAAATAGTTTTTTTTTTGTCAACAGTAGAAAATATTTAATTATGTAAGTCTTTATGGGGTTCCAGTTGAATAATTTCAGTAATGCGACATAACGAATGTATTAAGGAGTATGGACCACTTTCAAAACGAACTTCCTACACTTTCGACTTTATTATTAATCATTTGTTGAAATAAAACCAACGCACTTAACAATATACATACACATAGCACCGACTAAAAATTTACATTTTCGAGTTTTTTGGTATGCTATCTAAAACAATGACCTATGACTAATGAATGATAAAACTATTACAAATAAGCAATATGTAATGAAAATAATATTTACAAGCAAAAAATAAAAATACAAAATTCCACTTGCACAGTGTACAATTTAGCGAACATTTGCTAGCAGATATGCAATTAAATGAAGAATTGCAAAATATTTCCTTTTACATACACAGTTACGCATTTTTCTCAAAATTTGGGACTCATAAAAATCTGAGTCCACACTTCAAAATGATTTTTTAATCACTACTGGACGCAGTACACTCTACTAAGAGCGCTTGTGGCTGGCCTTGAAAGCTGGCGCCGCCAACATTCGCAACCACACAAATTGATTATTCGATATACTTTTTATTTTTTATTCATTTCATTTAAATTAAATTTTTTTTTTATTACCTAACGTAAATATGTTTGATCGTTACCTACTTTAATTTTGTATTTTTTAATTATTCTTTGTCTTCATGCTTCTTCTTATTGCAGTGTTTAAATTCATTGAATTCTTAGTAATTTGCTTTCTTTTTTCGCATTTTTTCGTATTACACACACATTTAAAACTATTTATTTTATTATTGTTGCTGTTGTTTGCTTCTTCACTTTTCATAAATTTTTTTTTTTATTGTAATTAATTATAATTTTTTTTTGTTTACCTATAAACAATTCGTTACAATTACCAAATGCATTTTGTTTAAGTTTTCTTTATTATAATAGATTTTTCTTCAGTATTCGTTGCCGAATCAAAATTCAGCTGATTAATTTTTTTCATACCCGCAGATATACATGTTTTTTTTTTTTTAATTTTGAATCTTTGACGTACTCTCGCTCTCGCTCTCTCTCGCTATCAAGTATTAATGTTTTCTTTTTTTTTTTTGAATTTTCATTCAATGACAATGGCTTATTGTGTACACCTCTCTTTGTTTTTGTTTTGCAAATTTTTTAGTAGTTTTTTCTTGCTTTAATTACTTTTTGTATTGTATTTTAAATTTATTACATTATTATGAGGAATAAAAACTATCACGCACTAGAATTATCATTGGATCGGGATGTGGATGGACCGGCCCCAATGTCATCGCCTAAGACGAATGTGGGGCTCTGGCGGGACGTTGACGCAACTGGTTGATAATGATAGCCTTCACGGTAACGAGTATTTGGTTTCCTGGTTGTTTGGGTGTGACCCAGTGTTGGTCTTTGGTTAATCAATTCATTGGGTCGTTTGGCTGAAAGTAAAAATAGTGTTAATACTTGAAAAACATAAAAAATGAATAAGTTAATAGTAAAAAAATATTTCCTTTTTGGTTATTGTTGTTCCGGCAGGGTGGGTGTATGATGCTTTTTTGGAACGAATTTCCGTCATCCCTTGTCAAATTTGGTTTGGAGACAAACCGGTTTCGACGTTGTGCCATCTTCAGTGTCATTTTTCGTTTTCGGAGATTCATTCGGAAAACGAAAAATGACACTAAACCTGGCACAACGCCGAAACCGGTTTGTTTACAAATCAAATTTGACAACGGATGACGGAACTTCGTTCCAAAATACATAATATGTAAAAAAAAAAAATTTTTTTTAAAACTCTTGACTCCTGCGCCATACATATATTACACCGTGCTACAAAAAAAAATATTAAAGTATCAAAAAATAAATATATTTACTCACGAAACTGGGAAAAATATAATAAAACTGCGTCTTAAGTTTTTCACTCTGGCGTCAGAATTTTTTAAAGGAATTTGAGGTTTCCAAAAATTATTTAAAAAATTTAGTGCAATGTAGAATAACAATATGGATACCAATTGAAAGAGAAAATTCTGTAGAATGACTAAAAATCCAAGTTTTCGGTTCACAATGACGAATAGGTATTCAAAATACCGTTTTATTTAATTTTATTTTCTTTAGATATTCATTACTTTTCAACAACTTGAATCGAAAAAATTGCTTCTATCTCTTCTACCATGAAATAAATAATAAATAAATGGGTATGAAACCCAATTTTTTATTTAAAGTGGCGTTTTTATTTTTTCTCTCTGACCGCAGCATTTATTTTGAAGGACTCTGTAATTTCAAAGAAATGATTAATTCCAAAAATTATAAAAAAAAAATTCAATGCAATGTAGAATAAAAATATGGGTAACAAATGCAATAGAAAATTTCTTTAGAATTTAAAAATTCTATTTTTTGGCTTTACAAGGACGAATAGGTAATTTTGAAGCTGACAAAGTTAGAAGAACGAAATTCGAGAATGTTATCGAGTTTATATAAGCCCTTAGCAAATAATTTTTTCAAAAACAAACACTGCGAAATTCCAAGGATAAAATTTTAAAATGACATTTTCAATATTTACCAGCCCTTCTGCACCAGAAACTTGAATCTGTTTAAATTGTATAGGACTTCCTCATTAATTTTATACCCGTACTTCTGCTCTAAGCACATTTCTCTGAATGTTTTAAATCATTTTTGAATTACTGACGTCAGAGTGAAAACGCAATTTTACTATATTTGGCCCATAGTTTCGCGAATATATTGATATTTGTGTTTAAAAGCTAGACATTTATAAAAAAATATGAATTATTAAATAAAAAATAAATGTAGCCAATACTGGTCAAGAAAAGGAGTTTCTATTATTGCCATCAGTGCAAATTACAAATCCCGAAAATCCCGGGATTCTTGGCAGGTAATTTTCGAGACCTTAAAAAGTCCCGGATCCCAGGATCCCGGCATAAACATTCCTAATACGTATGGAGAACACCAATTTTGTTTACTTACCAGGTATATAAGGCTTTTGATTATAGGACGACGACGATGATATTCGATTGTATTGTTGTTGTTGTTGTTGCTGTGGTTGCTGTTGCTGATTATTGTGATTTGATTCGCTGTGTGCAATGCTAGTATTTCGATTGTTATGCTGTGTTTGATGGTGTATATTCGGCACATCTGTACTCTCGATTGGACTCATTGGTGTCATTTCACGATCTTCGATGTACATTTCGCTGCCATCGTTGGGCACTCGACGGTAATATTGCGTCCATGGCCATGAGGCAATACCAGCCAATATAAATGATTCAATGGCGCAAATGTAACCGATAATCTGGAAAATAAGAAAATACCAAGTTTTTAAAACAGTTTTTAAGCTACATAAATATATCCATTGAACAAAGCTAAACATTTTGAAAAATGGATTGGCCGTCAAGAAGACAGAAAACCACATCAAAACAAAATAAAAAATGAGTCACTTAAGATTTTAAAAGATTTATGCATAAGGCACCTCGTATAAGGGCCTTTGGTCTGACACTGATCACTGCGTGATGCTGTTTTTGTAAATTGAAAAGTATAATATCATACAAAATAGATAGATAAATATATGATGCATTATTTTTTATAACGGATACCAAATTTGACCAATCATTTAATTGAATGAGATTAAAAAATATATGTTTTTTGCTTTTGGTAACAATAAAATCTAAAAATTACATTTGAATAAGAAAACATAATAATTAAAAAGGAAGAAAATAGTACCTACTTAAAAAAGTATTTTTAAATTTTAAACCAAATCGAAAAGTAAAGTCTTAAAAATGAAATGAAATAAAAAAATATATTTTTTCTTTTTAAAATAATAAAATCTAAATATTAAAATAAAGTTAATTAAAAAAAAAGAAAATTAAATTAAATTTAAAATTTAATGAAATATAAAAAAATCTCTTTTATAAACAATAAAATCTAAAAATCTAAGACAATTTTATAAAAAAAGAAAAAAACATTCAAAAAACATCAAATCAAATAAGTTCCTAAAAACTAAATGAAATTAAAAAAAAAACAACTTTCTTCTTTTCAAAAGAAGAACAACTAAAAATTAACAAAAATAAATTAAGAAAAAAAAATTTTTAAAAACGAAAAAAAGATACATAAAATAAAAGTGAAAAATTAAATTAAATTAAAAAATATTTATATTCTTTTTTAAAACAATAAAATCTAAAACTTAAAAGGACATTTAATAAAAAAATAAAAATATTTAAATTACATTAAAAAAATTTAAACTAAAATAAGGAAAAAGATCTTGTCGGGTACAAATAAAAACAAAGGATCTATTCTGGATAAGCACCCTAACCCAAAGCAAAATGTTTTCTGTATAACTTATGAGTTAAGCATAGAGAGGATTTATATTTGATTTAACTTATGTATGTAAATCATTTTGCATATTTCACATACCGCCGAAGTAAATAGTGTATCCTTGGTGTGCCTGTTGACCGCAATGTACTCTTCGGCATAAAGCACCATATGCATTACCAGCGTCGAGCTCAAAATCAATATCAAACCAATGCTCAGGTACATCCATGTATTCTGGAATTAAAAAGTTGGCAAAATTTATTTTTTTAGTTTTATTTTGTTAATATTTTTATATTATTTAGTAACTTACAACTTTAGTCCAATTGAATGGGAACATGAGTGCTATATGTGAAATGTCTAGAAATAACATTAGACAGGTGATTAGTAAGGAGAAGATCGCACAGAAGACCATTAATCTCAAGCGTCCGATGAGTGGCAGTAAAAAGAGGCCTACTTGTACCGTGCCGGCGGAGCATTCGCAGGCTAGACAAGCGGCTGACGATAACTGCAAAATCAAATAAGAAATTTTAATTACCCCACAAGTCCTATACATAACTTTATCGCTTATTTGTTACTTACCACCAAAAGAATTCTCACAATCCCTGTAGGCGTTTTCAAGTGTTGCGGATCACAGTGTAGGGCTACGCCCCATGGCAGTGGCGTTTGGCCGCTGCGCTGTTTATAATTGGCGTGCGAGTCCCACGACGTGCACGTGCCCAGCGGCGATTCTAAGGATAGTGACAGCTCACCAGCTCTGCTGCCAGCTATTTCAAAATCCTGTTCATCGTCCAGCTGACAGCAGACCGGTTCCAATTCGCGTATTTCGTCCAGTAGAAGTTCTATCTCGTCCGTTCCATATAAATCAGATACAGACGGTATATAACGTTGGGTTTGTTGCATTTCCCGTTGCGGGGGTTGTCCCACATCACCGGATCTTGTGCGAAATTATGATGATTTTAAAAATACCCGAAAACCGCACTCCAACCGCCAATTTGAAGTTTACGATAGCACTTTGTGGGCGCGAAAATAGGTTTCGAGGTGTGTGTGTGTGTGTGTGTGAATCGCTGCTTCAGCAGTGGCGGAACTGTACAATGAACAACCGGCAGCAGATAAGTAAATATGTGTGTATGTATGTTTGAATGGATGCAGTTACAATAGTTTTTTTTTTTTGTTTTTTTTTATGTACATATAAGTAGACGACGACGGATGAGAGGTATCGTGTTAACGCTGCAGCCAAAATTAGTTTTTCTTTGTGAAATCCGATTCGTGTTGGAGGATTGAAGCCAATTTTGAAGGTTTTACACTTTTCGGGCGATATTCACTGTGAAATCTGTAAATAAAAAAATGTATTATTTAAATGATGTAATTCGTTAATCGTTTAACGATGTAGCGCATTGAATTAGAAGCAGTACTTAGGCGAAACAATAAAAAATTAAATCGAATTAAAAACGCGTCGCTTGTATTTCGCTACTTAAGATACACTCTTTGCCGAGAGAGTTCGTTTCTTGTAGGCGGAGTTGCTGGAGGCTGGTGAATAAGTGTGACTCCAAGGCAGGATCCAAAAAGTGCTCAAATGACTGCGTCTCGTCTTCATCGCGGCAATTTCTTGGTATTCGTTATCGTTGGAGCGTCGCCGAGCATTGAGTTTCCCTGAACACACCGGTTAGAACTAATACTCGAGATCTGTAGGAAAGAGCTGGATTCGATGCTTAAACAATTCGAAATTAGCCTGCTCATAATATGAGCTAAAGAACTAAATAAATTTAAGCTAAGCAGAGCTGAAGTTTTACGGGATCGCACCAGACGGATCTGTATTATCTACGACCCACTAAAAATCAGGGTTCTGTTAGAAAAATACTTATAAACTCACGGCTGTCTCAGCAGGACACTGGGCCGTGGTTGTGCATGCCGAAAGGGGTTAACGCACCTTTTAACAGCTCTTGAGGCAGTTCTAATTGTCCACTTGAATAATTATTCAGCGAGGGCCCGGCTCAGCAAGAGTGAGACTACTAAAGACGTTTTGCCAACCATTTTTGCACAATATTTCAGAGTCTTAATAAGTTCACAGCTGCTAGGATATTGACGAAGATAGTGGCTTCAAATGCTGGAATTGTCTAATTTGCAGTTGACTTGCTGTTTTCTCAACGATATAAACATCAGCTTGCAAAGCGTAGCAGAGATTTGGCAGATGGTACTGAGAAGTTTATATTGGCTTCTAAAATGGCCGGTCTCAAGTACAAGCAGATAATAAACTACTACTGAAATGCAATAAAATTTTTTATTGGAATTTTTTTGTAAAAAAAATTTTAACAAAAATTCTAGTTTTTACCAAAAAGGTCGGAATAAGTTCTAATAGGTCAGCAATTTTTGATTCTCTATCATATGTGTCAAATGAGATAAGAATTTAAAGAAAACTGGTGACTAAGAAAGTATGCCTGAAATGGAGTTTAAAGAAAATGCTGGCATACAATTTCCCGGTATACTTGACGAATTTTGCCCCCGAATAAATTCTAGTTTATTTTATTGACGTAGAATACGTCTTACCTTAAGGTATGGGGGCTATGT